AACTAAAGCTCAGAGGTGCGGCGAGGTATAAAAACCCAAACTCACTGCCATTAAGTCAATTCCAACTCATAGCAGCCCTTTGGGCCAAGTAGAACTGTCCCTGTGGGTTACTGAGATGGTAAATCACTCCGGAGTAGAAAACCTCACAGATAAAGACTTATAAGGAAAACAATGATATCAAGAACACAGGAATTGCAATATTAATACCAGGTAAGGCATAAGGCAATGCCCAAAACACGAAATGGGAAAAGGTGGGATTATCATCTATGGTCTGCTTAGAAGGACTGAGATCATAAATTATAACACAGCAATGAAATATGGCAAAAAAAAATCCTTGGAAATACAAGGGGAACACAATGAAACAATAATTATAGCAAAAGACCCTTTATCCAGACAGGTGAGGTGTTGCTGCAGTAACTAATCTAAAATATCAATGGCTTAAAACAGCAAGAGTTTCTTTGTACTGCATGCTACCTGTCCACCATCGGCTGGGGTTCTGCCCTGCCTCATGATAGTCCTTACTTTAGGACAGCGGTTCTCAACGTGTGGGTCGTGACCTCTTTGGGGGTTGAACGACCCTTTCACAGGGGTCACCTAAGACCACCGGAAAGCACAAATTTTTGTTTGTTTTCCACATATATAGCATTTTAAAAAAAGAACACAATGCAATAGAAAGTTGAACTGAATTATGATATTGCACTTAGTGATTTCTATTTGAGATTTGAAATTATGAGCTCCTCTAATGTTTGTTGCCATCATGTGAATTTCGACTCATGGTGAAACCAGGTGTGTTGCGCAGAACGGCTCCATCAAGTTTCCTAAGCTGTGACCTTTCAGAAGCAGGTAAATAGGACAAGAAGGGATGCTTTATAATCTATGGTCTGCATAGAGGATTTGACTTCTGAGACCCTTCTGGTTGGGTTTTGTGTTAGGCTGAGTAGACTAGAGAAACAAATTCATAAGCATGCATTTGTATATAAGGGAGAGGTTTATATACAAGAGGAACATTGAGGAAACATCCCAAACCAGTCCTGTCCAAGGTCATAAGTTTGATATTAGCCCATATGTTCGAAAGCAATCTATAAAGTCCTCTTCAGACTCATGAAACACATGCAATGACGCCGAATGTAAAAGATCACAGGCCAGTGGGTAGAAAGTCTTTGGTGGTAGAAGCATCTCAGTGCTGGCAGGGGTGTCCTCATGGCCATTCCAGTTCCCAGGGCTGCATCCGGGTAGGTCCACGTGGCATCTCCTCAGGAATGCCTCGCAGGAAGTGAGCCTTGTCAGTAGAGAGTCTCCAAGGGAATGAACCAAGAGAGATAGTGTCTCCTGCCTCCAAGAAGGAATTACCAGATTAGGTAACTACCACAGGTTCAAACTCCCAAGCTTTTGGGTAGCAGAGAAATACTTAGCTACTTGCACTATAAAAAGACCCGCATGAACTACCTGAAGCTAGTGGTTTACACCATGTTTAAAGATGTCCAGTACCAAGGTT